GTTGGCAGTGGCTTTTCCATATGAATAGCCTGTCCTGGTGCAGGCTTCAGACCTTGCTAAAACCTCTCAAACAAGCAGCAGCTGGTGTCAGCATGCCCCAAACCTATCAGTAAAAGGCCCAAAACCCAGCACTAGCACCAGCCTGCATTGCTTAATAGCTGGGCCTCACCTGGGCAGTTCCAAGCTCAATACAAGTAGCAGCCATCTGAAGATCCCTCTGTAGCTCCTGCCTTGTGGCCCTAAGCAGTGGCTGATTTTGCATCTCCCGGAGGCCCCAGAGCCAGTGCACACAGTAGACAGCTTCAGACCATATCAGATTATAATTCTAAACATCCACAAGCAACGCACTCAAGAGGCAGACTCGGTGAGCATCAAAGCCCCACTGAATCAAGTCCTGCTCTATAGAAGTGTCTCCTTTACAGAAGCTGTTCCACTCTAGTTGCAGCTGGTCCTCACAGCCAACTGCTCTGGAGGTCAATTCTTCCCAGTGATGCCAACAGCAGTCAGGGCTCAACTACAACAAGACTGTGCACACAGCCCACAAAGGGCAACACCTTAAGTTTCCAGCTCAGGAGACTGGGGAGGCTGAGCTACTGGGCCCTATAGGACACCCAACTACACAAGGCCACTCAACCAATTCCAGGAGATGCAGCAGCTCTACCTAATGCATAGAAACAAATGAAAGAAATGGAAGCAAGCAAACTACTGGACACAGAGTTCAAAACAGTGGTTATAAGTTTACTCAAGGATCTTAATGAGAGCCTCAAGGGACTTAATGAGAGCTTCAAGGGACCTAGTGAGACTTTTAAGGATCTTAATGAGAATCTGAGACATGAAAAAGGACCAGTCAGAAATAAAACATACAGTAACTGAAATAAAGAATAATTTACAGGTATTCAACAGTAGAATAGAGCATCCCGAGAATCAAATCAATTATTTAGAATATGAGGAAGCAAAAATTACCCAATCAGAAGAACGAAAGAAAAATGAATCAAAAAATATGAAGATAGTATAAGGAGTCTCTGGGACAACTTCAAGCATACCAACATTTGCATTATGAGGGTGCCAGAAGGAAAAGAGGAAGAGCAAGATATTGAAAACCTATTTGAAGGAATAATGACAGAAAACTTCCCCTACCTGGTGAAAGAAATAGACTTACAAGTCCAGGAAGCACAGAGTCTCAAACAAGAGGAACCCAAAGAGGCCCACACCAAGACACATCATAATTAAAATGCCAAGGGATAATGACAAAGAGAATCTTAAAAACAGCAAGAGAAAAGCAGTTAGTTACCTACAAAGAAGCATCCATATGACTGTGAGCTGATTTCTCAACAGAAACTGCAGCCCAGAAGGGAATGGCAAGAAATATTCAAAGTGATGAATTGCAAGGACCTACAACCAAGATTACTCAACCCAGCAAAGCTATCATTTAGAATTGAATGTCAGATAAAGAGCTTCACAGACAAGAAAAAGCTATAAAGTTCATCACCACCAAACCAGTATTACATGAAATGTTGGAGGGTATTCTTTAAGAGGAAGAAGAACAAAAAAAGATAAAAATATGAATAATAAAATGGCTATAAATACATATTATCAACAATTGAATCTAAAAATCAAAATAAACGAACAAGAAATCTAATGAACAGAATAAACTGGTGAATAAAATAGAATCAGAGGCATGGAAACATGGAACAGACTGACAAATCTCAGAGGGACATGGGGAGGGGAGGCAGTAAGAGATTAACCAATGACTTTATATGCATATATGCATTGCCTATGGACACAGACAATAGGGTGGTGAAGGCCTGGAGCAGGGTGGGAACCGGGTGGAGGGGGCCATTGTGGGGGGTAGGGCAACGGGGACATCTCTAATAATCTTAAAAATAACGATTTTGTTTTAAATTTAAAAAAATACTCTGGCATTAAATATAAAGGTAGGGAGTAAATTCAATAAAATTGGCCATGAGTTAATTATTTAAGCTTGGTGATAAGTACATTGGTGGGTTATCATACTCTTTCTCCTTTTTTTGTATGTATATTTTAAGTTTTTCATTTAAAAGATTATACCAGAAGGCCCTAGCGAGTTTGGCTCAGTGGATAGAGCAGTGGCCTGTGGACTGAAGGGTCTGGGGTTTGATTCTGGTCAAGGGCACATGCCCGGGTTGTGGGCTCAATCCCCAGTAGGGGGAGTGCAGGAGGCAGCCACTCAATGATTCTCTCTTATCATTGATATTTCTCTCTCCCTCACCCTTCCTCTCTGAAATCAGTAAAAATATATTAAAAATAAGTAAATGATTATATCAGATGGAAATAGACAAAATTGCCAAGATTGAAAAAAAGAATTAAATTCTGGATTCTGTAATCTAGTAAGCTTGCTTTGAACCTTAAACACTATTCTAGAATAAGTTATTAAAAGGACAGTTTATAATCATGATATAAAGGGCTGATTATTAGAATCAAAAAGAGCTTGCTAAGAACAAATTGGTGTTTTTTTTGATGACTTTAATTTTTTTTAAAATATATTTTTATTGATTTCTGAGAGGAAGGAAGAGGGAGAGAGACAGATAGAAACATCAATGATGAGAGAGAATCATGGATCGGCTGCCTCCTGCAAGTCCCCCACTGGGGATCGAGCCCACAACCCGGGCATATGCCGTTGACCGGAATCGAACCTGGGACCTTTCATTTTCCAGGCTGACGCTCTATCCACTGAGACAAACCGGCTAGGGCAGTGGTCGGCAAACTGCGGCCCCTTGGGTGTGGCTCTTCCACAAAATACCACGTGCGGGCGCGCCCGTACAGTGCGATTGAAACTTCGTGGCCATACTCAAGGGGCCAAAGAACCGCATGTGGCTCGTGAGCCGCAGTTTGCCGACCACTGGGCTAGGGCAAGAACAAATTGTTTTAAGTTTAACTCATTTCCTTTCTGAGTAGAATTTCCAGACACATCAGAATAAAACTATGATCATGATTTTGGCAAAGTATCTGAGAAATGATAGTCTTTTGTTGTTGTTGTTGTTGTTGTTGTTAGTCGTCATCCAAGGATATTTTTTCCATTGAATTTTAGAGAGTGCAAGGGAGGGAGGAGAGACAGAGAGAGAGAGAGAAACATCAGTGTGAGAGAGACTCATCAGTTGGTTACCTCCTGAATGCCCCTTGACCGGGGCCAGGGATCAAGCGTGCAACCGAGGTATGTGCCCTTGACTGGAATTTAACCTGGGACTGGGTCTGCGGGCCAATGTTCTATGCACTGAGCCAAACCCGCTAGGTTGACAGTTTTTTGGGTTATATGATGATAATGACAGAGTGTTTTTGGTTAAGAGCTGTGAAATCAGCTGATAAATGAGTTGATTTTAGTTTGAGGGAAGGACTATTGGTGAGCCACAGGATCTTAAGAGCTCATTCAGCATTCTTTTTTTTTTTTTAATTATTTAATATTTTTTATTGATTTTTTCAGCAAGGAAGGGAGAGGGATAGAGAGCTAGAAACATCGATGAGAGAAGAACATCGATCAGCTGCCTCCTGCACACCCCTCACTGGGGATATGCCCGCAACCAAGGTACATGCCCTTGACTGGAATCGAACCCGGGACCCTTTGGTCCGCAGGCCGAAGCTCTATCCACTGAGCCAAACCAGTCAGGGCAGCATTCTTAATACTTAATTTAAATGATAGCTTAGGATGATGGGGGTTTTTTTTGTTTGTTTTTTAAATATATTTTATTGATTTTTTACAGAGAGGGAGGGAGAGGGATAGAGAGTTAGAAACATCGATGAGAGAGAAACATCGATCAGCTGCCTCCTGCACGCCCCCTACTGGGGATGTGCCGGCAACCAAGGTACATGCCCTTGACTGGAATCGAACCTGGGACCCTTCAGTCCACAGGCCGACGCTCTATCCAGTGAGCCAAACCAGTTAGGGCAGGATGATGTTTTATACTTCATACATTCCATTAAGCTGTAAGGAATAACTAGTGTCTTAAAAGAGAAAAATCAAGATGTAAATACATCTCTGTAGGCTAGAATAATAGACCCAAACCTGAGTGGAATTGACTATGATAATTGTAAAGTTCTGCCTTAAGATTCAGAAATGATTTTCACAATATAGGATGAAGGACATCTTGGTCATAGCTGTAAGAGATAAAAAATAATATTTTGGTAACCACAAAATGAGTATAAGCTGCCATTACTGTGTGATTGCAGAAACACAAATGTCATGTTCAGATGAATTAATGCAAAGATAATAACCTGTTTAAAAGGGGTGTAGTGGTTAGTTCTCAATGCACTGTTGTTTAATAATTCAAATATTTATTAGCCATGAAGTACTGATCTAATGTTGTGACTAAAGATGGACATCAACATGTAAACACATACACTTTCTGTTTGGATCCTCACTATCACGGGGAAATCATAGTAGCCATCTCCAGTTGAGAGATACAGTACTTAGAGTTTTAACCATTTGGTAGAATATTGCCAAAAGTCAGTGTTTTCTACAGAATCCTGCATCTGCATTTATTAAATGTGAAGATCCTCATGTTATACTTTCTGCCTCTACATATGATAAATCCAGGGGAACTTCTTAGCCACTTGAGGATATTCTATTCACCATTGTTTTTTATGCAAGTGGTCTGGGACATTCTTCACAAAGTCTCCCTTTTGAAATCCTTTGCCCTCTCAGTTTCAGGGCTGATAGCTGGTAACTTCCACATTCATTTACATTTTAGGGTTGTCACACAAACTAGATATTCACCCTAAACAGCTTCCCCCCCCCCTTAATATTGACCAGTTGGTATAAAATAAATTTCCAGCTTACTTTAGTGTTTCTTGAAGCTGCATTTTAAGAGATAAAGTATTTTGGTAGACAAAAGCATTTTAGAATTATTTTCTAAAATTTATATAAGTTCTTAGTTATTAAATTAGTAGTAAGATTGTGAATTTTTAATCAGTTGTTTTTTTAAGTATTAATGCTTATTAATTTAAACTTTTTTTATTGTCCTTTTCAGGGAATCTGGGAAAAATTGCAAAGTCTATACCTTTAGTAAGGATGGGACCTTGTTTGCCTGGGGCAACGGAGAGAAGTTAGTGTTCATTTACATAAAATTTTATGTATGTGTCATGAATGTGAAACATAACCAGCATTATTTGAGTAATATGTATTTGGGTGTCATTAATAAAGTCCATCTTTTGATGTCATGATGCAGTTAGGTATTATCTCCAACATAATTTCCATGGCCTACCTCCAAAGTTGTTAGTTTATATTTATATGCCTGATTCATTTGAGTTATCTAATTACTTAGAATTTAAAAGTAACATATGAGAAAGGGCAGTTAATTTAATGTTGAATAACCTGAGAGGTTGTTTTAAATAGTGCTTTCGGTTATTGGGTTTTTTAAGTTCCACAGTAACACTTAGAAAATAATTCTTGCTTGTTCAAGTACTAGAAGCCTGTTGCACGAATTCGTGCACGGGTGGGGTCTGGCTGACCCTCCTTGATTGGGGTGGGGGAGGCCGATCAGGGGCGGGACTGGCCAGGGGGAAGGGCCATGGGCAGTTGGCCAGCCAGCCCCGCCCCCTGGTCGAACTCCAGGTAAAGGGGACAATTTGCATATTAGCCTCTTATTATATAGGATTTGTAAGGCATTCAAAAATGTTTAGTATAGTCTATATTAATATACATAAAGTAATTGAAAGTATGTTTAGTACAGTCTATATTACATAAAATAATCAGATTATAAAATTGATCTTGCAAAAAAAAAGTATTTTGATTAAATGCTCATATTTTACTAAGAAAACCAGTCCTTTTGAATTTTTCCATAATCAGTATAATATGTCAGTTAACAGAATCAAAAAGATGCCCAAATATTTGTTGCTCGGTTTAAAGTTATTTTGTTGTTGTTTTTAACCAGATATAATATCTTTTTTAAATTTCTTTATTGATTTTAGAGAGGAAGGGAGAAGGAGAGAGAGATAGAAACATCAGTGATGAGAGAGAATCATTGATTGGCTGCCTCCTGCACACCCCCTAGTGGGAATCGAGCCCGAAACCCAGGCATGTGCCCTTGGCTGGAATCGAACTTGGGACCCTTCAGTCTGATCTTAGGGGTTTTTTTTTAAAGGGGGAAAATACATACATTAGTTCCAAAAGCACATTTTAAATGATTTTTACACAGTGATACATTAGTTCCAAAAGCACATTTTAAGTCACATTGGATTAAACACATGATTTTAAAAAATTAATGCTAAAAAGATTGTACTACATTAGTTGATTCACTTTTTTTAAAAAATATATTTTTATTGATTTTTTACAGAGAGGAAGGGAGAGGGATAGAGAGTTAGAAGCATCGATGAGGGAGAGGGATAGAGAGTTAGAAGCATCGATGAGAGAGAAACATCGATCAGCTGTCTCCTGCACGCCCCCTACTGGGGATGCTCCCACAACCAAGGTACATGCCCTTGACCGGAATCGAACCTGGGACCCTTCAGTCCGCAGGCCGATGCTCTATCCACTGAGCCAAACCAGTCAGGGCAGTTAAATATTTTTAACCTTTTATTATTAAAAATATTAAATCAGTTTTTTTATTTTTTAAGTTATTAAATCCAACCAATAAACTACTATCAAATTATTAAGTATATAGTCATGTTGAGTCTTATCCACAATGTTGACAATCTCAATCTCAGCCTTAATGAAAAATGTACTGTCAAGATTTTCTTATTACTTATTTTTTTTATTTATATTTTGGTGAACCTGTTGTGGGCATTTGGCTTTTATTTTTTTTTAATATTTTAATTTATGCTATTTGAGTAATGAATTCATAGAAATTTACTGTCTAATGGGACCTACCATACTTCTTTTCATTGTCTGTTATCTTTTTGTGGTAACCCTATCCTGTTAGCTTAGAGTTTATTGAGTAATCTGTTTTTACCTTGGTAGTTATTATAATTATTTTATCTATTTCACATCTCCACTTGGCTTTCTCTTGGGTTCAACTCTGAATATTTTTTATTTTTTAAAAATATTTTTAAAAAATATTTTTATTGATTTCAGAAAGGAAGGGAGAAACCACACCAGCCAGGCATCAACTCTGAGTATTTTTAATATGTCCTCATATATGTCCATCTTTTTAATAGATATTTTCTGTACCTGGTTCTAGCATTTATTTCCTTAAGTGCTGTGGCTCAAAGACATATCATGTCCCTGGGACAGGAAAAACATGTAGTGTATGTGGTCTTTGCTGAATTCATGGTTAACTAAGTCAGAAACTCTAGGTGATTTTTCCTTAAATATGTGATTTTTTAAAAAAATTTCAAAATAAACACCCTTCATTAAACATTCTAAGAATAACTATTCAAGGTTATCAACTACAAAAAAGAAAGCTTTATGTAATTCTAAAATATGAAATTCACAGTAAGTTGTAAAAAATCTCATGTGTTAAAACAATATGCAGTAATCTTGCATTCTTACCAATTTCTGCTTATCGTGATCCAGTGTCCTCAAACTGGAGTAGAACAAAGTAACTTTAAGGAATTTCTGGAATAAAATGGATTATATCTCTCTTTTTTTTTAACCCCAAAGAATACATAATAGCAAGTCACTAAGCTGGTTTTAAAGGTTAACTCTGGCATTTATCAGTAGTATGATCTTGGGCAAATCATCAAATCACTTAATTTTTCATCAAATCAGTTTTACCATTTGTAAAATTGAGATGATAATACCTATTTTATAAGGTGTTGTGAGGATGAAATGAGAAAATGTGCATAAAGTGATTAGACTAGAACAGGGTACATAGGAAGCATCAAAGAAAATGGAATCTGGTACAATTATTCTAATATTTATTATTATCATACCAAAATAACTCGTACAGTCTATCTTTTCAAGACTGCTTCTAAAATTTTAATAAGCATCCAAAGTTTATTTTATTTTTTTAAATATATTTTATTGGTTTTTTACAGAGAGGAAGGGAGAGGGATAGAGAGTTAGAAACAACAATGAGCCAAGAGGTCCCTGGTTCAATTCCCAGGTAGGGCACATACCTAGGTTGGAGGCTCGATCCCTAGTAGGTGGAGGTGGGGTGGGGGACCTGGGACCCTTGAGTCCGCAGGCCGACGCTCTATCCACTGAGCCAAACCGGTTCGGCAGCTTTAAAATTTTAATAAGCATCCAAAGTCTCTTTGCTGATTTCCTCAGGGGCTACTCAGTTTTTAACATATACTTTTTCTGCTCAGCCAGTGTGGCTCAGTGGTTTAGCAACCCATAAACCAAGAGGTCCCTGGTTCAATTCCCAGGTAGGGCACATACCTAGGTTGGAGGCTCGATCCCTAGTAGGTGGAGGTGGGGTGGGGGGGATGTGGGGGTGGATGCAGGAAGCAGCTGATCGATGTTTTTCTCTCATCAATGTTTCTATCTCTCTATCCCTCTTCCTCTTTCACTAAAATCAATAAAAACATATTTAAAACATACTTTTTCTGTGCAATGTGAGAACTAAAAAAGAAGGCAGCTTTCTACAAGCCAAAAAGAGGGCTCTCACCAGAAACCTAAGATTCCAGCATCTTGATCATGGACTTCTTAGCCTCCAGAACTTTAAGAAATAAATAACTGTTAGTTAAGCCAAAAATAAAAATTAAAAATTAAATAAAATATGCTTTTGTTTTAGCATCTCTGTTTTCTCTTTGGTTTGATACATCTCATCTTGTCTTTAGGTAGCTCTGTTCAATTAAAATCCTGTTGTGATTGTATCTTTCTATTAATTGCATGTAATTTCGAAACACCAGCCTTATATAGGGGCCTTTTGGTAAAATGTGTATTTTTTTTAGTTAAGGTGTTTATTGGATATTTTCTAGAACTAACTGAAAATTGATTTTATGAAAAATAGATAGAGTGATCTATATTTGAAAGAGTTAAATGTTTTTGTTAGTGCTGGCTATTGTGAAACAGTATTTTGTTGCTGAAGTAATTTCTTTTGAAACCAGAATAAATATTATCAGTGTCACTAACAAGGGACTACTGCACTCCTTCGATCTCCCTAAGACAGTTTGCCTTGAATTCTCACCAAAAAACACTGTCCTGGCAACGTGGCAACCTTACACTAGTAAGTATTTTCCAATTATAAAAATATTCTAACAGGCCCAATTCAATTCAGTGGGAAAAAATGCGAATTTATAACTTATAAGAAAGTAATTAATCTTTATGATAGTAAATAGTGTGTAAATATTTTTAATCAACAGTGAATCTTGTATTCCCCAAATATAATGTACTTTAAGTAATTGCATAGTAGGTTAATGAAAAGATCCATCATGAAATAGAGCAAAAGAAAAAGCCAAGGGAAATTTTATAAAGTAAATAACACTGGATAGAGAAGATCTCAAAAATTAAGAATAATAATAACCTTATAAATAAAAGCATTTAAAAAATGTTTTTATTGATTTCAGAGAGAGGAAGGGAGAAGGAGAGAGAGATAGAAACATCAGTGATGAGTGAGAATCATTGATCTTCTACCTCCTGCATGCCTCCCACTGGGGATCAGACACGCATGTGCCCTGACCAGGAATCAAACCCTGACCTCTCCTGGTTCATAAGTTGATGCTCAACCATTAAGCTACGCTGGCTAGTCCATGTTTCTTTTTCTAAGTAGATAACTTTGAGTACTCACGTGCCAGACACTGTGTAAGTATTTTGTTATCATCATCTTATTAACTTCTTAAATAATGTGTATCTGAATCTAAAACATGTTTCTTAAAATAAACCCCGATACCAATTCCCAGTATTTTATTACTTATCTATGAAGCACAGCTATATAAAATGTTTATGTAACATATTATATCTCTAAAAGTGTTAGACAATGGCACACCATTACCTATTCTTTGTCATACCATACACATTTCTTAGATGTTGAATCTACTCTACTTCCTCTTTCATTTATAATGATTATTTAAAATGTTTATTTTAGCTGGCCTGTGTTGTTCAGTGGTTGAGCATCAACAATGAACCAGGTTGCAGGCTGGATCCCCAGTGGGGCATGTCCAGGAGGCATCCAGTCAATGAGTCTCTCTCATCATTGATGTTTCTATCTCTCCCTCTCCCTTCTCTCTGAAATCAATAAAAATATATAAAAAATTAATTAATTAAAATAAGTAAATAAGAGAAATGTGTTCTAATTTATGTGGATATTAAGCAAAATATTATTATAGCTCCTTGTTGGATTGTAAACCTCTTGGGTGTGTTCTTCCAAGAGGCATGGACTCTTAATGAATCTTCTTTTTCCAAGTAAATAAAAGGGAAATTAAAAATCATGAGTCATATAACTCAGTGTGTGACTTATAGAAACAAGCTTTCATATAAGACAATTTAATTTACTTAACAGTAAACCTCACTAAACAAGAAATCTCTTTTAAGTATTCTCAGCTATCATATTGTTACGGCTTTAGGAATGGGTGAGTAAATCCATAATTAAAAATAGTGGAGAAAGTTGATTTAAAGCAACTCTCTTACTTGATCTGTGTAACTTTGTTCAAATTGTTTCTAAAAATGACATCTTTTTTACTAGTGTTAGGAGACAATTACTATAAAAAAAAATGTTGTTTCTACTTCAGCTTCTAAAGATGGCACAGCTGGAGTTCCCAACCTACAACTTTATGATGTGAAAACTGGGACATGTTTGAAGGCTTTCATCCAGAAAAAGATGCAAAATTGGTAAGTAAATGTTTTAGAATACTTACTATTATTTACAAAATATTTTAAATATCTTCATTGTATAATACTTGTTTCTTTGGTATTGGTTTAGAAAATAACTTCTCAGACCAAAATCTAGATCTATTAAGAAATTTGTACATAGGAATGTAATAAACACTTGATCTTTCTTTTGTTTAGTATTTTGTCTATTATATATACTGACTAAAACTATTAGTAACTGACTTAACATCATATTATAAGTATTTTTCCTTAAATAGTAAGCAATATCACAAACTTTAACATGTTAACATGTGGTATTACATTCTGTTTAAATGTTTTTTATATTTTCTTTTCAATGTAGGTGTCCATCCTGGTCAGAAGATGAAACTATTTGTGCCCGAAATGTTAACAATGAAGTTCATTTCTTTGAAAATAACAATTTCAGTATGGAAAGATTTATGAAATAATTTTATTATTTACTATAAATGTATATAGTTTTTATTGCTTTATATGTATCATAGAGTTCTCTAAAATACTGTTAACATATTAATATTAATACATTGCTGTATATTTATATACATACTATATGTAAACAAATATATTAAAATTACTATAGTAATTCATTTGAATAACTTATAAACACTAGTGAAATTTTATAACAAAAATTTTCTTTTATAATAACTTTTTATTCCCTAAATTTCTATTAAACCAAGACATTTTAAATGTCTCTTTCTGTATTTATTTGCTATTGAAATTCTGTGATACAAATGAATGTTTTATTGTGTAGAATTTGAAACATAAATTAGACACCTAGTCCCAATAACCGTAAACTCATTGCCAATCCTATCTTATCCCTCTATCCATCTTCCATTCCGCTTACTCTGCTACAGCAAATCCTAGAGGTCATATAATTTTACCTATAAGCATTTCAGTATGTATCTCAGAAGATTAGGACTCTTAAATTTTTTATAACTTAGCCAAAAGACCATTATCTGTTCAGTGTTAAATTTCTAATAATCAAAATGTTACAGTTATTTTAAAACTTATAATCCAAATAAGATTTTGCACATTGCAATTAACTGATGTATCTTGTAAGTTTCTTTTAAGCTACAGGTTCCTTCTCCATCTCTTTTTTTCCCTCTTGCAGTTTATTACTTAAACAAGCTTACTTGTCCTATATATTTTCTCATAGTTTGAATTGTATCCCATCCTATAATTTAACTTGTTCATCTGTCCCTTATTAGTAACTCATTTGGATCCAGAGTTGGTCAATTTCAGCATCTTTTCTGGGGGAGATTAGGGTAAGATTACATCATAAGACAGTATTGAATTATTTTATCAAGAAGCACATACTGTCTTACTGTCTTTAATTTTGTAGGGTTAACTGACATTAACGTTCAGTGCCTAGATCCATTATTTCATGAGTGGTTGCGAATTGGTGATATTCTGATTATCCTCCTCCTCTCTCATATTAGCTGTACTACTTCTATAAAGAGAAATTTTCTCATCTACTATTTGGTTGCCTAGTAGTACCATATATATATAGGAAAGGCAGGATCAATATTCTTTCCTTTTATCACTTTTGAAAGAATGAGTTCTTTCTCTGGCAATCTTCATTGCAACCAATTGTTCCCCTATCCCCGCCCCCCCCCCCCATCTTTGTGAACTAGAAATTTAAACATGTGTTTCAGTCCATTGCAATTATTGTTATTGATGGCTCAGATTATCCCATGATTGGTCAATTAGTCCTTGCTATATAGTAAGACAAGCTGTTCTGAGACTACTGTGTTTATTATTTCCTGCTGTATACCTAGAATCAGTCATTTCAGTCATTTCTTTGAAATACTCTGGTTTCTTTTAGTGGAAAATGGTATTTAGAGACCACAATATGGGTGTGTGGGGTTTCGTCATTGTTTTTAGGCCTTTTTCTTTCTTTTCTTTTTTTTTCTTTTTTTTTTTTTTTTTTATATCTTATATCTGTATTGCCTTTTGCCAACACCAGGAATCCTGGTTCTCTGGAATTTCATTTGCTTTATTTCACACGAACCACATAATATTCTTAGAATAGCAATACGAACAGTAATACCAATAACATGATTACTGAAAATGATTTAAAGAAAAAGTTTTGCAATTTCTTTTGTCCTTAGGGTATCCCATTAATGACTGTACACTTTTGAGTATACTACAGTAGAGTAGGAATTGGTAACTCCGTTAACATATACCAAAGGTGGCACTATTCACTTAATCTTTATAGCTGTACACTTCATTATCTTGCTTTTGAGGCTCATTCTAGCCCCCACTGATTTTGGGTTCACTTGCCTGCCTCTTTGTGAGCATGCCAAAAGAAGGGCGCTGCAATTTGGCAGTTTGGTGTGCTACTTTTGAAGAGCTGTTGATCTCTGAATTTGAACAAAGGAAGAATAACAGCTCTTGATCCCATTAACTAGGGAAGTAGTATTTTTCATAACATGGGTTCTGACTGCCTGGCAGAGTTAGAACTCAAAAAAATGTTCACCACTGTTACTCTTGTGATCATTATTGTCATGTAATTAGTTACAGAATATCTATATCCACATTTTATATTAATCTAAAAGTCATCTTTCCCATCTAATGGGCTCTAAAACTACTTTATTTCAGAAGTTGAAGAGAAGGGAACTGATGTTTATTAAATACCTATTATGTGCCTGATACTGTGCTCTTAAAAACCAATCACTGGAAATTAGGTGTGTAATCTCATTACTTGCCCAAGCTCACACAGCTAATAAGTGACTGAGTAGAAACTCAAGTGTAAATCTGTCTACTCCCACCCATGCTTTTTCCACTATTTTGCTCTGCCTCATCTATATGAGACTACAATGATCATTATTGTGTATAGTTACACTAACCTTTTAAAATGCATTCAGAATTTAGCATTCACTGTTAGCATCTCTCATCAATCTAACACCATTTCCTTTTTTTTTAGATACAACTGCAAATAAATTGCATTTGCAAAAAATTAATGATTTTGTGTTATCACCTGGACCCCAACCATACAAGGTAATGGCTATGTTTCTGTTTGTTTATGTGGAATATTATAAGATTAACCTCTTTTTTTAGTTTTTAGTGATATCCATCTTAGTTTATATACTTCATAAATTAAATTATTCATGTCTGTGTATCATAGGTGGCTGTTTACGTTCCAGGAAGTAAGGGTGCACCTTCATTTGTTCGATTATATAAGTACCCCAACTTTGATGGACCTCATGCAGCTTTAGCCAATAAAAGTTTCTTTAAGGCAGATAAGGTTACAATGCTATGGAATAAAAAAGGTACAATAAATATATTTTCTCTCATTTTGTTTATCAAGTATTGATTTAGACTTGATTCCTATGTGTATAGGAGAATGTATCAAAGCTTATTTAATGAACTTTTACATGGCTGTATTATATTGTTTAATATATTTTTTATCACCATTAGGTTAATTTGTGTTTTAAATCTAATTAAAGTTTTCACTGTTATAGCTACTGCTGTGTTAGTAATAGCTAGTACAGATGTTGACAAGACAGGAGCTTCCTACTACGGTGAACAAACGCTGCACTATATTGCAACAAACGGAGAAAGTGCTGTGGTGCAATTACGTGAGTATTTCAGCCATCTTCCTTTGATAAAAACATTAGGACAGTGAAAAAGATGACATAGCCCAGCTGGCATGGTTCAATGGTTGAGCGTTGACCTATGAACCAGGAGGTCACGGTTCGATTCCAGGTGAGCGCACATGCCCTAATCCCCAGTGGGGGGCATGCAGAAGGCACCTGGCTGATCAGTGATTCTCTCGCATCATTGATGTTTCTATCTGTCTCTCCCTCTCCCTTCCTCTCTCTGAAATCAATAAAAATATATGTTTTTTAAAAAAGATGATATAATCTAAATTCTTGATCAGGTGATAAGACTAACATGTTTTATAATCTTTATGATAAAATTCCTCTTGATTAAGAAATTTAAAGTCATTTCCAGACACACCTGATTTTGGCATAACCCAGTTAATTTAGTTATGATAGTTCTTTAGTAGGAAACTTGCTAAGTTAGGTAATTCAGTTGCTGTAACTCTTTGAGGACTTATTGAACTTATTAGGACAGTAAGTTGATCTAGTGAATTTAGCACCATCTTCAGTACTGAAGAATGTTAGTACTTCATCTTTGTTTTGTTAAACTAAATTAACTATAGAATAATACAGATCTAAAATTCTGGCAACTCCCTAATTTTTTCATTTTGAATTGAACATGTAAAGAAAACGTTCTAATGAAGTCACAAACAAAACAAGGGTGACTCCCCGTTCCACTCTTAGTTAACATTCTGAAAGATCTACTTAGTATAACTGATCAAAAGATAACATACGTAACCAAGCTGGTGGCTCAGTGGTTGAGCTTCGACCTATGAATCAGGAGGTCACAGTTCCATTCTTGCTCAGGGCAAATGCTGGGTTGTGGGCTCCATCCTCAGTAGGGGGCATTCAGGAGGCAACCGATCAATGATTCTTTCTCATCATTGATGTTTCTGTCTCTCCCTCTACCTCTCTGAAATCAACAAAAATATATATTTTTTAAAAAGATAAAATATGCAGTCTTATTTATTTTTAGTTTTTAATCCTCACCCAGGGATATTTTTTTCCATTGATTTTTAGAGAGAGTGTGTATGAGAGAGAGGGAGGGAAACAGGAGAGAGAGAGAGAGAGAGAGAAACATCAAAATTGGTTGCCTCCTGCACACACCTCAACTAGGGCCAGGGATCGAACCTGCAGCCCAGGAAATGCCCTTGACTGGGAATGGAACCTGAAACCCTTTGGCCCACAGACCATGCTCCTAAACACTGAAACAAACCGGCCAAGGCAAGTATGCAATTTCATTTATTTTTTTAAATTATTTTTAAATATATTTTTATTGATTTCAGAGAGGAAGGGAGAGGGAGAGAGAGAAACATCAATGATGAGAGAGAATCATTGATCGGCTGCCTCCTGCACTCCCCCTACTGGGGATTGAGCCTGCAACCCAGGCATGTGCCCTGACTGGTACTAGAACCCAGGACCCTTCAGTCCACAGACCGACACTCTATCCACTGAGCCAAACCGGCTAGGGCAAGTGTGCAGTTTTAAAAGGAAGAAACAAAATCATCTCTGCTCATAGATGAAGTCACCATATAACAACAGCCACTTAAACATAATGGAAGGGAAGAGTTCATGTATGTATAGAAACAAAAAACAAATAGTATAGGTCCGATGGGGAAAAAAACTTCTGAGGAACAAACTGTGACCTTTAAGAATTTTATAAAGATGTCATTTCTCTCCAAATTGATGTAAAAGTGAAATTAAAATGCCAGTAGATTTAACTAGGTAAGCTGATTCTAAAGTTGATACTGAAAAATAAACTTGCAATAATGTTTTGAAAACTGCAAAAGAATAATAGGATGGGGGGATTCTTACACTATTAGATATTAAGATGTAAGGCAGTTGTAATTAAGTCACTTTGGTTCTAGCTGGTGAGTAGACAGGTAAACAATGAAACAGAACCAAATTCAGAAAGTGATGCACATTTCCATTGCTACTGCTATGTAAGAAAGTCAGCATTTGAATCAATGGTGAAAAATACTGATTTTTTAATATGTGGTATGGGAACAACAGTCTAGCTATTTGGAACAAAACATTAATAGTGTTGCCTCTTTCTGTGCACCGAAAGATCACGGATTTGATTCCCGATCAGGGCACATGGTGGGGTTGTAGGTTTCATCCCTGGTCTGCCAGAGGCAATTGATGAATATTTCTCACATCAGTGTTTCTCTCTCCCTCTTCCTTCCTCTCTTAAAAAAAAAAGAAAAGAAATCAATAATGCTGCCTCTTCATCAAAAAAAAAAATCCAGTTGGGCCAAAAAATTGTATCTAAAACTATAGAACTAGAAGCAAATATTTGTGATTTTTTTTCTAAAAATGGAAAAAGACTTTCTAAAGACCAAAGTTATGAGGGAAAAGGAATAAATTTAAATATATAAAAGTTATAGATTTCTACATTAAGGGAAGAAAAGAGTTCAAAAATTAAGCAAAACAAACAATAAAAATTGGGGGGGAAATTTGTTTAGATTGCAAGGGATGAGTCTGAGAAAAGGTGAATATTGTTACTGTATCAAGTAAAGCAATAAAAGACCAATAACTGAAGAAAGAAATGGACATGGAACATTAAAAAATAGTCCACAGAAAGAGAAATGAAATTATGTATAAACTAGAGGCCCGACACATGAAAATTCATTTAAGAGTAGGCCTTCCTTCCTCTGGTTGCCAGCACTGGCTTCCCTACGGCACCCGGGACCCAGGCTTCCCTCCTCCGGCCACCAGTAGGCACCCGGGACCCAGGCTGGCTTCCCCCGGGCCCCGGCTTTGCAAGGAAGGACGTCTGGAAGACTTCTGGTCTAATTAGCATATTGCCCTTTTACTATTATAGATTACTATTATAGATATATTTAAAAGGTGCTTAGTTTATAAGAAAATAGAAAACAAGATACAGTTTGCACCTTAGTAGGTTGGCAAAAGTAAAAATAAGAAACTACAGAGCATGAGTGAGAGTGAGGGAAAACTCCATATTGTCAAAAGTTATTCATAGTGTAAATTGGTATGTCTTTAAAGGACAGTTTGGTGGTATGTCATCCAGTGACTGGGTGCGCCCTTTGACCAGGCAGTTGCACTTCTACAGATGTGTTTGTGAACACTCACAGAATTTGTAATGGAACACGGAACAGCTGAAAAAGAATGAGGCAGATCATAATGCGCTTATGTGAAAAAATCTCCAAGATAGAGTATTGAAATGAAACAGAGGGTAGAACTTTGGGGTTTTTTGTATGTGTTTAAGAGAGAGAAGCTAAATTTCAACAAAAATTTCAGGAAGCATCCTATCTAATAATAGACAAACATGGTAATTGACCCTACCTTCGCTCTGCCTCCCATTGGCTAATTAGTGCGATATGCAAATTAACCTCCAACAAAGATGGCGGTTAATTTGCATACGTAGGCTCCAAGCAGTGGAGTGAAGCCTGACGTTTCCAGGCCAGCGGAGCAGTGAGGCCTGACGTTTCCGGGCCAGCGGAGCAGCGAGGCCTCATGGCCCTGGGGCCGGCGGAGCAGCGAGGCCTGACGTTTCCGGGGCCGGCGTAGCAGCGAGGCCACACAGCTCCGGGGCCGGCTCTGGCCAGAACTCGGCCAGAGCGAAGGCCTGGGCCCTGGGTGCCGGAGGCAAACCGATACCAGCAGCAGGGGAAAGGAAGGCCTATTGCACGAATCTCTTCGTGCAACAGGCCTCTAGTCTTACCTAATAATGGACAAATATGTAAATTAACCATCCCTCCGCTACGCTAACCAGCCAATCAGGAGAGTATGCAAATTAACCCAACAAAGATGGCGGTTAATTTGCATACGTAGGCGTGAAGCGGCCGAGCAAAGACTGAAGGCTCCGGCTGGAGCAGTGAAGACTGAAGGCTCCCCGGAGCAAAGGCCTGGGTCCTGGGTGCCGGAGGAAAACTGATGCCAGCAGCCAGGGGAAGGGAAGGCCTATTGCACGAATCTCTTCATGCAACGGGCCTCTAGTATGCAATAAATATACCAGAGAGGCCCTGGTGGATGTAGTTCAGTGGTTAGAGTGTCATCCCCCGTGAAGATTCCTGATCAAGGGCATATATGCAGGTTCAAGTTCAATCCCCCGCTATGTCAGCGTGCCTGTGGGAGGCAACCAATGTGTCTCTCTTTCCTTCTCTCTCCCTCTTTCCTCCTTCCTTCCTCCCTTCCACTCTCTCTAAAACTCTATGGAAAAAATACTGTTGGGTGAGGATTAACCAAAAAAAGAAAAGAAATATAACAGAGGTTTGCCTATAGTGTAGAGGGGTTTATTTTTGTGGCATGTCTTTTTATATAGTTCATATTTTTATTACTATATGCATATACTACTACCTAGTTCAATAAAAACTAGTTGTTAATAACTAGTAGTAATAACCTATGCTACTATGAGCCCACATTGCCAAAATGTAAAAGAAATTAAGGTTTATTAGAGATTCTTGAATTTATGATTATACATTAATTTTTATATATATCATGTAAAAATATTTTAATTTTAACATACCATGAAATTTTCAGGTTTTTTTGTTTCGTTTTTTTTTTTACTGTTTGACATGTTTGAGTGTTATGTGATTATAATTAGTGCTAATAAATATTATATTCATATAATTATTGCTAATTTGGGTTTTATATTATTTTTCCAGCAAAAAGTGGCCCCATCTATGATGTAATTTGGAATTCGAATTCTACTGAGTTTTGTGCTGTTTATGGTTTTATGCCTGCCAAAGCAACAATTTTCAACTTGAAGTGTGATCCTGTGTTTGACTTTGGAACTGGTCCTCGTAACGCAGCCTACTATAGTCCTCATGGGCATATATTAGTACTGGCTGGATTTGGAAATCTGAGGGGACAGATGGAAGTATGGGATGTTAAAAACTACAAACTTATTTCTAAACCAGTGGCCTCTGATTCTACATATTTTGCTTGGTGCCCAGATGGTGAGCATATTTTAACAGCTACATGTGCTCCCAGGTTACGTGTTAATAATGGGTACAAGATTTGGCATTACACTGGCTCAATCTTGCACAAGTATGATGTGCCATCAAATGTGGAATTATGGCAGGTTTCTTGGCAGCCATTTTTAGATGGAATATTTCCAGCAAAAACAATAACTTACCAAGCAGTTCCAAGTGACGTACCCAGTGAAGAACCTAAAACTGCAACAGCTTACAGACCCCCAGCTTTAAGAAATAAACCAACTACCAATTCCAAACTGGTAAGTCAAGTTTACTACTTTAGTGGGAAAAGGTTTTCCAGTGTGTGGAGCTTTCTAGACCTTTTTTTCCTCAGGCATGTGCTTGTGTTACTTAGTACCTGATGAGAATATAAACTCTAGGGTAGAAACCATGGAGAAACCATTGCTGAAAATGGTGAACAGCTCATATTAGATTGATAGAGTAGTTAATTTGAAGCAATTCACATTTTGCATGTCTGGGAAAGATAACTGAGTATATAACATACCAGCTTTGCAGACCATGGGCTCAAATTCAAAGGCCTGCACAGTGTAAGACCATGCTGACTAGAAGAGATCATGCCCTCCTTAAAGGCCACAGCAACTACACAGCAGTAGTTCATTGTTTCCATAGGAGATTTTAGTCCCACTTTGCCAAAATGTTTGATTTTTCAAGACTAAACAAGTCTGGATGTTTATGTAAAGTTTCTGTTTCTGAAACACTGTTGCTCAAACAAAACATTTATTGTCCTTAGGCCATCAGTTCCTAACTTTGTTGTAAAGTTATGACCAGAGTATTGTTCAGATTCTTATCTGCTCTAAAATGTGAGTATTTCAGAGCTCAGGAGAAGGCATTTGTAAATTATCTAAGTTTCTGTGGTGATGTTAAAGAATAAAGGTGCTCTGTAAGTCTTTCTATTATCTATTAGAAAGGTGACAATACAACAGGCTGGGACTGTTCCAAGTAAATGGTGTTATACAGCTACTTCATTATTAAGCACTCAGGGAAGTAATACTTTTTTAAAGGATAAATATTCCTATGCCTTCCTTGTGCCACTCCTCACCCTCTCAAAAACAAAAGAACCACTGTCCTTCTCCTTAAAATGTAGCAGTGGTCTGTAACTTCTTAAAATGTTCTGTTGAAAATTTTTTGTTGTATTATTTAGTAAATATATATAAAAACTTATTTAACCAAGTAAGCCCTATTTATGATATTTTTATTAGGCCAAAAAACGAAAGTATATTGTAATCAGATTTGTCCCATGTATATTGAGATTTTTCTTACCTAAATTGAAAACAGGAATAACCTCAACCTATCCTGCTTTCTAAATTCATGTCAGATAGCACAAGAGGAAGAAATTCTGAATTGGTGTGTATTTTTTTTCTCTGATCCATAAAACTAGTTTGTTTTGGTGGAGGAAGGTTGAGAAATTAATATAGAAAAATTATAGTTTGAAAATTGTGATAAAACTAGGTAAGAACTTCTTAAAACCAAAATTTTTTAGCATTTAAGATTTTTACTAAGCTTTTGCTTTTGTATGTGACATGGTAATTATGTGATCCTAACAAATCATTTTAGTCAGTAACCACTCATGAGAAATTTTTGTTTGTATCTAATTACAGAAATTAGGTAAATGGCAAAGAAAATACTGTCAAGAAATTACTAGAAACAAAGATATTCTAGTTGATAACTTCACAAAGGAAGGGGGTTACATAGCAGACAGAAATAAAAATGTTGGGATTTTTCCCCTTGAAGAAAAAAGTTACTTTAAAAAAAATTATATATATACACACACACACACACACACACACACACACACACACATATATATTATTTCAGAGTGGAAGGGAGAGAGATAGAAACATTAGTGATGAGAGAGAATCACTGACTGCCCCCCCACTGCGGGGAATTGAGCCCACAATCCAGGCATGTGCCCCTGGCCAGAATCAAACCTGGGACCCTTTAGTCCACAGGCTGACTTGACGCTCCATCCACTGAGCCAAACCGGCCAGGGCAAAAAGTTACTTTTTTATAAGTAAACTTTTTTATATAAATTATACTTAAGGAAGTATTTATTGGCTTTCAAAAAAAACCACCTTCACTTTTATTATATATTCATCAAAACAGTCACATAAAAATTGATATAACTGAAGAAACAAAATTTATTGCTTTTTAATCCTCACCTGAGGACATGCTTAGAGAGAGGAAGAGAGAGAGAGAAACATCAATCAACTAGAGGTGCCCGTGCATGAATTCATGCACGGGTGCGGTCCCTAGGCCTGGCCAGCAATTGAAGCGCGAGCATCTGGCATGGAAGGGAAAGTCCCAGCTGACCTCTGGACCCTGGGCAGCACCTGGGCCCCCACGCGCCACCCTCCACCTGAGTCAGGGTACCCCCCACCCCCCACATGGAGTTGCGGTGAGCGTGGCTGGACACTGTAGGCCGGGGCACAGCATGGGCCTCTGGATCGCCCAGCAGCGCCACACGGAAGCCGGGTGGGCAGCATGCTCTCTCCAAGCTGGCCTCGCAGACCAGCTCCTATGTGAAACCACGGAGAGCCTGACTGGCCCCTGCGGTCCCCTGGCGGCTGTGGCCCAGCTCACCCAGAAGAGGCTGCGCAGGTGCAGGGTGGGCTCCTCGCAGGTGCCTGGCACCTAAGTGGGAGGACTTCCCCGGCACACGAGCCCTGGTGTCCCGGGGGAGGGTAGCAGGGGGAGTGAGAGTGAGCTCAGTGGACACCCCACATTCTCGCTGCACCTCTGTCCCTGTCACCCCCGCCCCCAGGTAGCTGGTGAGAGGTTGCAGAGCATCGCTGACACCCGCCATGTTCTGCACCGCCCCCCTGGTGGTCAGTGCACGTCATAGTGAGAGATTGAACTCCCAGTGGAATGACTGCCCAAGGGGACCATTTGCATATTAGGCTTTTATTATATAGGATTGCCTTTCGTACATGCCCCGACAGGGGATCAAACCCAATACCAGGAATGTGCCCTGACCTAGAATCAAACCTGCAATCAACTGAGCTATTCTGGCTGGGCAAAGAAACACATTTTATTAGTAAGGATGAAATATGTACAGTGGTCACATAGAACTAAAGCCAGAAGAGGTCATGGTGCTTAGGAGCTGTGTGGATTTTTTGTTTGTTTTGTCTTAACTGAAAGTCTGTCAGTGGCTACATGGTTTGGAAGAGATTTGTAACTCATTCTTTCTTCTTGCATCATTTTTTAATTGCTTTGTCATTTTTTAAAAAATATTTTTATTGATTTCAGAGAGAAAGGGAGAGGGAGAGAGAGAGAGATAGAAACATCAATGATGAGAAGGAATCATTGATCAGCTGCGTCCTGCACACCTCACACTGGGGATCGAGCCTGCAACCTGGGCATATGCACTGATTGGGAATGGAACCGTGACCTCCTGGTTCATATGTCAGTGCTAAACCACTGAGCCATGCCAGCCAGGCAGCTTTGTACTTTTTTGAAGTTCTTTTGAAATGAGTAGAAACTTTCTGCTGAAGCAAGATACTATACAAGAGCCCACTATTGAAAGGATTCAGATGTATAAAACAAATGTTCAGCACATTTTAGTATATCTTAAGTCCCATTGTACTCAGAGTAGAGACAAAAAAAGACGTGACAGAGGCTTATCCTCCAAGTTTCTCTGTTCTACAAATGTGGGTTTATATATACAGGGTGGAGCAAAAGTAGTTTTACAGTCGTCTGTATGGAAAATAATATAATAGCCCAGCCGGTGTGGCTCAGTGGTTCAGCATCAACCTATGAACCAGGAGATCACGGTTCAGTTCCTGGTTAGAGCCTGTGTTACGAGCTCACCATCACGGGGGGACATGCAGGAGGCAGCTGATCAATGATTCTCTCTCATCATTGATGTTTCTGTTTCTCTCACGCTCCCCTACCCCCTCTTTCTCTCTCCCCCTTCATCTCTGAAAGCATCTCTGAAATAAAAAAAATATATTTTTAAAGAAAGAAAATAATCCTATATAATAAAAGGCTAATATGCAAATTATCCCCATGGGCGGGAGTTTGACTGACCCGGAGTTACACATGCGCCGACCACCAGGTGGCGGTGCAGAACATGTTGGGTGACCTCGACGCAGCGCTGGCAGCAGGCGGCAGTGGAGGCACTGCCGGCCCTGATGAGCCTGACAAGAGTGGGACCACAGCGGGATGGTGGAGCAGGTGAGCAGGCGGCGCCAGGCCAAGGCAGGTGCAAGCGGGGGCCCCAATCACCCTGCTGCTCGCCCACAGATGGCGATGGGCGGCAATGGCAGGGGCCGGGGCCGGCGAGTGGGCGATACCAGGCCAAGGCAGGTGCGAGCAGGGGCCCAGATCACCCCACCGGTCACCCCACAGATTGGCCCTGATTGCCGACCAGGCTTAGGGACCCTACCCATGCACGAATTTCGTGCACCAGGCTTCTTCTGGTCTCTCTCTCTATTTAAAAACCTAAGCGACCAAACAACCGGTTGACCGGTTGCTATGACATGCACTGACCAACAGGGGGCAGACGCTCAACACAGGAGCTGCCCCCTGGTGGTCAGTGCACTCCCACAGCCAACCTCCCGTGGCTGGCCAACCTCCCGCTGCCCCTGCCCCTGGTGGCCAACCTGTGGCTCTGATCACCAGCCAGGCCAAAGGACCCCACCTGTGCACGAATTTGTGCACTGGGCCTCTAGTACAATAAATAATAATACAGGAATAAATTCTGTGTTTCACGTACTCACAACTGTAAACCTCCTTTTGCCCCACCCCGTACTCAGCAGCTCCAAGTAGGAAATTTATATGCACAGAATTTTAATGATCTGAAATAGTTAATGCAGCTGTTAAGATAAAGTCACTATGGTTTCCTACTTATTCCTCTGTATTTATTATTGTTTGAGCCCTGCCCATTTCCTGATAGCATTTTCAAGTTCAACACAGATCTGAGATCTAGTACTCAAAAACTTCATGAAGATCTGGTCCTTTGATGTGCAAGTATGATAGAGCCTAAAGAGACAGTTAAAACTAAGATAATAGCAATGTAGATAGAATCAGTTGTTAGATGAATTTTTTTGTTTTGGGTGAAAACATTTCAGTTCTCTCTTAGCAAATTTCAGTTATACAATACAGTGTTATTTACTATAGCCCCATCTTCTACATTAGATGCTCCTCGATCCTATACTTAATTCACCCTCTTTCTGTTGTGGAATGTAGTTGATAGGTGTTTATATAAATATCCGGTGATGGAAATTACTATTTTCATTGTATAATCTGACAAGTTATTTAGTTTTTTATAGACCATTATGTTAATCCTAGATTTATAATTATGCAGTCACTTATTCCTTCCTATTTGATCTGTTTTCTTGATGTCTGTTGTAGGTTTTCTATTTACTTTTATTTTTAATCTCCTAATCTCTGATTTTGTAAGTAAAGATCTAGCAAATAATTCTTAGTTCAAAGAAAATAAATGAGGAAACTGAGTTTCTGTTTGCAGTAGTCAGATCCAAAAAGATTCCAGAAGAAGTTATTGTTGGTATCTAATTTAATTTCATAAGGATCATGTGTCAGTAGTAATACAAAAAAAAAAAAAACAAAAAAAAACAGAAATATTCCAGCCCTGGCCAGGTGTCTCAGTTGGATGGAGCATCGTCCTATACACCAAAAGTTGGTGGGTTCAATCCCCGGTCAGGGCACATGCAGGAGGTAACTGATCAATGTTTCTCTCTCTCTTCCTCCCTTCTTCTCTGTAAAAATCAATTTTAAAAAATTAAAGTAAGTAAATTCCATTGTTTAAACAAAATTGAATTTTGCCAGTTCTTATGTAAGATACATCTATCAACTAATAGGCAGAACCTCATTAAATCCACCCTGACAGTTGGAATGTGCCTACTACTAATCAGAGTTTTGAAATATTCTTTGCTGGTAATCTTAAATTTGATTAAATAACTTTATCCCATACTAGCCAAATTGTGTAATTTGTTGTATATGTTTTTTAAAACATGGACTCTATTTCAAAATTGTTTCTTTTACATTTTCCATAGCATGAGGAGGAACCACCTCAGAATATGAAACCACAACCAGGAAATGATAAGCCATTATCAAAAACAGCCCTTAAAAATCAAAGGAAACATGAAGCTAAGAAAGCCGCAAAGCAGGTATTTGGGGATACTAATCTCTTCAAAACAAAATCTGTTAAATTAGCTTCAAGCCTTAAAGTTTTGTTGACCTAAAGACTTGACTGTTATGTTGTAAAATAATGTTGGAGTTAGACTTACTTAGAATGTCTGTCTTTTGTGTTTGACTATGAATTTTTAAGTATTCTCGTGTATATAATAGGAGAGTAAGGAAACTGCATCTGACCTTAAAACCTGAAACCCTAATGGCATTATGTAGTACTAGTGTCCCGGTGCACGAAATTCATGCACGGGGGGGGGGGGGGTGTCCCTCAGCCCGGCCTGTACCCTCTCCGATCTGGGAACCTTTGAAGGAAGTCCTCCTGCTGGTTTACAGGGATTGGGCCTAAACCGGGAGTCAAACATTCCTCTCACAATCCTGGACTGCTGGCTCCTAAACACTCACCTGCCTGCCTGCCTGATTGCCCCAACCACTCTGCCTGCCGGCCTGATCACCCCCAACTGCCCCCCCACCAGCCTGCTTGCCCCCAACTGCCCCCGTGCCAGTGTGCTCGCCCCCACCTTTCCTCCCCACTGGGCTGCGTGTTACAAAATTACCCCCTGGTGGGCTGTTCACTCCAAAATTGGCCCCCCCCCCCCCCGGAGGAGGTATTAAAAAAAGACAGACCATGTTAGCAATCTCGACAGAAAACGCACCAGCATGCTGGTGACCAATCCCATAAGGGCGTGGCACCAGGTAGAGGAACGCAACAAACCGCAATTTGTCTCGTGGCACCAAAGCGTCTTACGCCGATCCCGCAAAGAAAAGGATTGTCACAAAAAAAAGTGGTGAAAGGCCCCCCGGTCAAAAAAGAAATAAAACTTTTCTATCTTATCCATAAAATTTTTTGACACCGGCTCAGGGCCCCAAAGTTTTTATCAAGAGAGGCAACACGAACATGAGGAGGAGGAACCCTCTCCGGGGCCTCACACCTCAGCACTTAAAGAAGATATAGATCCTATAAGGGAAGGGAATCGCGCAAGGGGGGCCCT